AGAGAAAACGCTGAATATAAAAAGTTTGAGCTGCTGTGAGGAGCGACAAGTGTCCTGTTGGTTGAAAAAATTTGCGATGCTCTAAAATAAAAGAGATTTAAGAATGGAATGATGTAGTGAATTAAACGTACAAGGAAAAAAAATGAGGACACTTGCAGTAAAGACTAATCAGAGAATTTATTAGTCATGAATAAGCATAGCAGAATGGACTATTTAGTTTTATAAGAAAAGTGAATGAACGATTTTTCTGAGGACACGCGTTTCATCATATTATCAACAAATCAATTGGCAAAAAGCAAAAAAAATATTATCATTCAAAGAATTAAATAAAATCTATTGATAAAAAAAATGCGTATCAGATTTAAACCGCAAAATGAATAATTTCATGTCGTAATTTTCATCTAAAAAAACGTGGATATTAGTATTTCTGGCAAGAGATTTCTTATTAAAGTTTCATTGTTTATTCTTTGGTATTTTGCCAATATCCGGACATCTGCTTTTCTTTATCTTGATAGTTTCAAGTTTCAAACATTCGAATATGGCATAAGAAAACCAATCTCGATATAGGAACAAATCTTTTTATTGGTCTGAGAAAAAATGGAACCATCTAAATACGTATCGGTATCGACATTCATTTACACGTTTTATTAATAATACATAGAACAGAAAAAGGGATGATGACACCAACTTTGTGCCTCCAAAGTATTGGATTATTAATTGTCCGAGGAACACAAAGTTGTATCTTAAATTATGTAATCGGCTTCTTTCTTTGATCAACTCGGAGTTCATTGATCTTTATCGAAAAATAAAGATATTAAAAAAAGGATTTGAGATATTACAAATCGTTGGGAATTGGAGGACAAGCACAATACGTAGATAATTACGAGTTCCAAGAGCAAATTATTTCTCAATAGACTGCACGAAGTTACTCATGAAAGAATTTGCAAAAAGAACGATGTTGTTCTTGTAATGTAAACAGAAAAAAAGAACTACATGTACTCACTTTTATTTGTTTATGCTTTTTTTTAACTGTTCTCTAAAGATCGAAACACCTATTATTTGTAGCGACAAATCGTTGATTTAATTTAACTACTATCAATGAATAATGCATGTATTCCTTTTTCCTATAAATTTTATCTTTTAAACTTCCTAAACAGATAATATCATACTTCACGTGATTACATTATTACATCATGCACATGAATAACATATCACAATAAGCAAAAATGCCGAGTATGTTGCTTACCTAATATTTTGGATTACAGCTTAAACCTTTGGTCTATTTCTTATTTATTTTTATTCTATTGAGAAATGACGGCGCTTACTAATTGCACGGCTATGGTGAGTTGAGTGCCGTCTCATGGATACAGTCTATGTTGGCGTATTATTAGCTTCGCAAAACGAGTATGGGATTTATAACTACATTATGTGCTATAAGCAATATGGGAAGACGTAAAACGTATTCCAATGGGTGCGTAAACTTCATCTATATGAACGTATATCGCGAAATAAGGGCATTTGATAATTTTATGTTGCATAAGTCTTAATTCTACTTATTAATTTTTAGTCAAATATGTCAAAGCCAACATTTCATTAACATAATTGAACTTGGAAATCAATGTTGTTAAAGATGATGTTATTAATGCTACTATATCCTTCGTATCATCAAAAGCTGCAAATCCAAAAGGAGTTGAAGGCATTTATTTACAAACTATACATCTTCGATTATTTTATCTCTCAAAAATCAATATTATAAAGGATCAGACTCTTAATCATAGATATTCGCTCTAAAAAGTTGTGAAACCAACTTATTAGATGTACATTAACAAAATTACACGTACTATTCACTTCGAACGAATAACGATAATTTTAATTATTCTACGGATTGTCCGTATCTGTATTTATTACAAATTACTATCGCTATTATTGAAAATGTTTAAGACAATGATCTATTGTTTATAAATGTGTCGTCATCCCCAGCATTACTAAACAAACCATTCTGAAATCACGGATGCTAGAATAATAATAAAATCATTCAAAACACGCAGATTTTTTCTTAAGGATAATACAAAATTCATATAAAAACACGCAGATTTTTTATTAAGGATAATACAAAATTCATATAAAATTTCTGTATTCACAGATCTCGACCAAATTATATTTTTCTTATGGTCCCAAAAAAGCTACTTCGGTTAGTGAGGTTGCTTCTATATAAATAAATTCGTCGTCATTTCTTGAATGAACCAAAAGTATGATAATAATACGATCTTCGCCTTTTCATGAAATGACCAAGAAGTTCATTTAAACCAATAATACAAAGGCTTTCGTCTACTTCTTATTTTTCCAAAGTATTTTCTTTCTCATAAATATTGATACTATCACATTTATAGTAGTTGATACATTAATTGGGTTGGGCGTCTTTTATTTTTCTATTTCATTTATCGTTTCGATTATGATCGTATGATCCTTTAGTTTCGAAAAATAATCTCCTTCACTTGTAATAGCAAATAACTATGGGCAATGATTTTCTATTTCGAAGTGCTAGAATAATTTTCGATGGATCAGGGTTTCGTATTACCATCCCTGTTAAATAAAGAAAATATCATATACATGATTATTTGTTTATTTAATGTACATGTGCATGTCAACCCACTGGCGCATACATGTATTTTTACAATAATCTATCATACAAAAGTAACGAAGGATCTGTCCGTTGCTATTCGTAGTAGCATTTTTCCTTGGCATTTATTTTGTAATTCAGCTAAATTTATATCACATACGACTCGCGTGAATTATCAGGCAAACTTTGCAACATCGCTTTCATACATATAAAACAGTTCCTAAAAAGGGGCATAATATGAATACAAAGTTCACACCGTGGATCTATATACATGTACGCTATAACTTTTAAAAAACATTTAAAGGCGGAAAAGTTCTTTTTGGGAATTTTTCAAAAATTAAAGTCGTCGCCATCAGTATAATTTTTTCATCAATAAGCAAAATTCGAAATAAGATAATATACTGTTTGTGGAAAAACTACGGAACCCCCGCTTCAATATGTTTTCGCGACTATTATTAGCGTTAATAATATGTGCGTTTGTATTATCGGAAACATTTACAGGTATGGTTGCGAGATTCGTGTTTTCCTAATAAAGAATATGAACTAATCCTTTTTTTTAATTCTCATTCGCAAAGGCGTAAATGGTCAAAAAGCATGTTTCTCGAAAATTTACTGTTTTACTGTGTCGATGCCACCCTCGAATGCCAATGCTAGTGCTAATTATGTCACTTTTACTATGACAGCACCTTCCACAGTTGGGTAGGTGATATCAATATATTTATTTATTCAATGTGTTATCTAATACTGACAACCTTTTAGTTGGTTTGGCATGGGGCTGGGTGACGGAATGGTCGGCTCTTATTTAATCGTATGTAGGCTTATATTATAAGGATGTTCTTGTAAATTCCCATAAAAATAATAGAAATATTTTTTAAAAAATTATAGATTGCATGGCCAAACAGCGACAACACAATAACAATCTCACAACGCAAAGCGACCGAACATGCCGAACCATCAACCACGAATCAACAATCCGATTTAATTCTAGACCCATCCAGCGGGGTGCAAAATGGGCAAATGGTAGCAATAATTAAGCGCGCTGTTACAGTGTCTGGCTCAACAATCACTACGTCCGGCAAACAATCTTTCGTATGGGCCTACTCTACTGTAAATCCTGAAAGTAAACAAGCAAATGCCAGTTTAACACAACATCTTAATAGAGGGTCAACTTCTATCCAACTAATGACCTCTTCTGAACAGCTTGATTCTTCTAATCCTACTAATGCTTCTACTTCGGTTGACTATGGTGGAAATTATGTTTCATTGGAATCTGGATTGACGAGTGATCAAAAATTAGTGATAGCGCATGGTAAGTCAATACCGTTCACTTTTCTCTCAAATTTTTTTGTGTAATCAAGAATATTAACGTTATGGTATTCTTGAATTATATCAAGGCGCATTAATGTGTAGTGCTTTTCTGTTAACAATGCCAACTGGAATATTTATGGCACGTTTTGCCAGAAATATATTGCCCAATTCATGGTTCCCATTGCATGTGGGCATTCAATTTTTCGGCACCACCTTCTTAGCTATTCTAGGTTATATCATGATTCAAATTCAGAATGGAGATTGGAATTCACCTTATTTGAATGACCATACCGTAAGTTATTTTTAATGATGGTGATAGTCTAAGAGCGAAATTATTTAAGTTTTGTTTTCTTTCATATAGATTATCGGGAGTATCGTTTTCTTTGGATTATTGGGACAATTAGTACTTGGCATTATTCATCATAAATTATTTAGATCCGATCGTGGATATATTCCGTGGTGGACAAAACTTCATTGGTAAGTGACTATTTTATCTAATTCCGTCAATTCAATTAACTATTTACTAATTAGATCGCTTAATAGGTGGGTAGGAAGAACTCTATTTCTTCTATCACTCGCACAAATCCCTCTCGGATTCGAAATCTATGGCGTTCCAACTTTTCTCTACATCATCTATTTTATATATATCGGCATTTTGTTAATTGCATTTATGTTTGGCTATATTCGATTATATTTACGTAGTCGAAAAAAAGAAAATGAGATATTTATGGAAAACAGAGATGAACCAAAGTAAATGAAAACAAAGATGATGGTGGAGCTACGGAAAGCAATTGAAATCTTGATGGAGATTCTTTTATGATTTATTTTTCTTGTATATGAAAATTACATAAGATTATTCTAAATTTAGATTACGTTGGTAAAAAATATATATTTTAAACAACTAGCCAACCAAATGAATTGTTTATATTGATGCCAATTTTTAAATTCAGAATTTATATAAAAATCTTAGATTACTGTAAAGCTACCATATCGATTTGGAATTTTGATTTTTTTTAAACATTTCAAGTTTTTTTTTCAATTAATAAAATAAACAACTCACGCTTTCTCTGCATTACGTCATTAAGATCATATGACGAACGGGTCGTTTGTTGTTATTACGTCTTGAAAATGATTTTTATAAGGAGTAAAACAATATATCCGACACACATATTCTATTTAAAGCGATATATACATAATGCCACATTGCGTGATTTTTTTCATTGAAACATCGTTCCGCTTAGTAATACTTGACGATAATGATAATGATGCTCATTTAACGATAACGTTATCCTCTAGTACATCCGAATTTCAATTGCCTTATTCCCTATCATTTCAAAATAAACGTGAACCATTTATTCTCTGATATTTGAGAAAATGTGCTTAATCATAGTAAAAGGGTTCAAATTTGAAAAAAATTAAAAGCGTCTACACTTAATCACCAGGAAACACGCAGTTGCCAAAAGCGTAAATACCAGAACTTGGCAGTCAAAATTTGCCGCACATATAGGATCTCTTGTTGTCCATATATGATAAGGGCATTATCATGCCAGCATTAATTACGGTTAAAATGTCGAATCTACCGCATGATACAGGTTCAAGCAATCTTCTTTACCAGTTAATAAGGTTGATTGATTAAGCATTTTCGAATTCGCGAAATCCATATAAACCGGACCAAAATGATTACACTAACCGATCATTTAGTAGAGGTACAATAAATTTTCGTCGTCGTCGTCTTTGTAGATGACAAGAATAGATCCCAATGCCATTCGTAAACCAAGATTAAATGTGAGATATATTGAAACGATGACTACTTTATTCTTATTTAAAGAAAAAAAGAATCAATTTCAATCACGCCTAAATTTTCAAAAATCTTTTTATACATTACTGGAATAACTTAGGATGATGTGCTAATAATAAGATTGAGAAGGTCCACCAAATCTTCGTTGCCAATTCTGAAATTAGGGTTGAGAAGGTCTAACAAATCTTCGCTGCCAATTCTTTAACTTTTATATGCGGATTAGGTGGTGTTCTGGCAGTTGATACGCCTTTCGTATGCTCACATCAAAGTTTTCGATTATCTTGAATTGACTTAATTTTTTTAATCATTATTATTATACATTTTTAACGTTAATATTAACATATTAATAGAAAAACAGGTGTGCTTTTGCAAACAAGAAAAATTCTGTACCATTCTGCGCTGACGATGATTGTTCCATAGTGATATTTAAAGCTTTAGAAAAATATAGTTTTTGAAAATTATATAAGGCGTCGTAATACACGAATTGTTAATATAGAATAAGACTTAGCGTTAGTCAAAAAATCTAACGAGAAATTTTTTATCCTCTTGACTAATTAAAATGATTCAAATTAGAGTTTGACATTCGTATAATTTGTATTTTTACGCTTCTAAGAATTTCCAATTATTATAATTCCAATACGTAAAATACGTATTGGAATTGTCAATAACCATTATAAAACTTAAAAATCACTTTTTACCAATAGACGGAATAAAAGAATACTTTTTCGGTGATAATCCCGTTCTTTCGAACTTTTTGTCCAAATCTAATTGAACATACACTCGTTGGACAAAAGTTTGGATTCGGCAATGATTTACATATATAAAACATACCGCTAAATTTGTCCTTGTAAAGAGAATGTCATTATATAGAGGTCAATTTTCCTATAGTAATATATGAATCATTCTAGAAATTTTTCGCTATTGAGAGAATTCCGTTATAAAAAGTGTCGTTATAGGGAGGTTGATTTATACATGTAAAAATCGAAATAATTTCTCTATATTAAAATGTTCAAATTTTTTAATAAATATTTTCTATTTTTGTATCGGTATTGAAATAAACATAAGGACTCATATATTTTTCAAATAACATTTTTCTTATATAAGAAATAAGTAAATTCAAAATTTAATCAGTGAACATGATAGAATAAGCCTTTCTTTAATTATATTTACAGATTAAAATTTTAATTTTACTTTTAATTAAGAAGTTTATAAAATTTATGAAATACAAATATTTTCTCAAACTAAATCTGAAATTCTAAAAAAATATATATCAAGATATAGATCATTAACTTTATTTTAATACAAAATAAAAAATATTTATTAAAAAATTTGAACATTTTAATATGGAGAAATTATTTCAATTTTTTACATATACTATGTTTTATATAGTGGCTCTTATCAAAATAAAGTTCATAAGTTATAGTTTAACATACAGTATTTGTTTTTCAGATATTTAGTCTTTTTCTGAAAGAGTTTGTTCTAATTGCAAAATCATTCTACTTAAAATGAAAATATATGTTAAACTATAACTTATGAACTTAATTATGGTATAAAAATAAAAATTATTTATTAATAAACTTTGAGAAAATTTCATATTTTATTAATAAAAATTGGTCCCCTGATTCCATAATTATATAATTATGGGAGCCACTGTATTGTAAATTCCAAAACTTTTATCCAACGAGTGTACAATGATCGATTAATGTTACGCCAATCACAATACACTGACGGGCTTGATTAAAAAAAAATACATGTACCGTGAATATAATCTCATTCATTGTTCGGTCAAACCCAAAGAATTCGTCTATGTTTTCCTTTATTCGCTAATAATCTGCGACTTCAAATTCGCTGCTCCGACGTAGTTCTTTTTCCGATTTAATCAGTTTAAATAACCCCATTTGCAGAAAAGTAAAGAATCGTTTCATCGAAAAAATAACTATTCTCATCGTTATGGAATTCAATTATTGGCACGTTTTGTTAGAAATATATTATCCAATTCATGGTTCCACTTGCATGTGGGCATACAATTTTTCGGTACCACCTTATTAGCTATTCTAGAGTTCAAATGATTCAAATTCAGAATGGAGATTGGAATTCACCTTGTTTGAATGACCATACCGTAAGTTTATTTTTGATGACGACGAGCGAAATTATTTAAATTTTGTTTTCTTTCATATAGATAATCGGGAGTATCGTTTTCTTTGGATTACTGGGACAATTAGCACTTGACATTATTCATCATAAATTATTTAGACCCAATCGTGGATATATTCCGTGGTGGACAAAACTTCATTGGTAAATGATTATGTTCTAATTCCGTTAATGCAATTAGTTATTACTAATTAGATTGCTTAATAGATGGGTAGGAAGAATTCTATTTCATCTATCACTCCCTCTCGGACTCGAATTCTATGACGTTCCAACTTCTCTCTACATCATCTATATCGGCTTTTTGTTCATCGCATTTATATTCGATTATATTTACAAAATCAAAAGAAAGGAGATGAGGGACCTATGGAAACCAAAGAAGATGAAACCAAAGTAGATAAAAACAAATATGATGGCGCTACGGAAAGCAATTGAAAGCTTGATGAAAATTCTTTATATTTATTTTCTTGTATGAAATTACCTAAATTTAGATCTAAACAATTAGCCAATCAAATGAATTGTTTATATTGATGCCAAATTTTTAAATTCAGAATTTATAATAAAGAAAATAAAAATCTTTAAAAGCTACCGCATCAATCTCTAAGAGAATTTTTGTAGACACCCTGTTTAGAGTTATAAAGATGATATTTGCATAAAAACCGATTTTCAAACATTCAAATATTTCATAACTATTTACAAGCTTTTTTTTCAATTAAATAAATTGAAATACACATCGATAAACAACTCATTGATAAATCCTTCGATCTCGGGTTATAAGTTCCGCGCGCCTTCTCTGCATTACGTCATTTAAGACCATAACGAACGGGTCGTTTGTTGTTGTTACTGCTTTCTGCAAATGATTTTTATAAGGGGGGTAAAACAATATATCCGACACACATATTCTATTTAAAGCAATAGATACATAATGCCACATTGCGTAATTTTTTCATTGAACATCGTCCGCTTAGTAATACTTGACGATGATGATAGTGATGTTCATTTAACGATAACGTTATCCTCTAGTACAGATTAGTACATCCGAATTTCAATTGCCTTATTCCTACCATTCAAATAAACGTGAACTATTTATTCTCTGATATTAAAAATGTGCGTAATGATAGTAATGCTAATTGGCTAATATTCAAAAGGTTCAAATTTGAAAAAAATTAAAAGCGTCATACACTTAATCACCAGGAAACACGCAGCTGCCAAAAGCGTAATTACCAGAACTTGGCAGTCAAAATTCACCGGCTCTCTTGTTGTCCATATATGAAAGGGTATTGTCATGCCAGCATTAATTACGGTTAAAATGTCCAATATGTCGCATGATACTGTTTCAAATAATTGATCATGTAAATGACCCAAATCTTCTTTACCTGTTAAGAAGGTTGATTAAGCATTTTCGAATTCGCGAAATTCCATATAATCCTGACCAAAAAGATTGCACTAACCGATCATTAGCAGTAGAGAAACTACGAATTTCCAGAATAAACTTTCGTCGTTTTGGGTGACAGCAGCAAATCCAAATGCCACGCGTAAACCAAGATCAAATGAGAGATATATCGAAACGATGGCTACTTCCGCACCCTTGATTGTTATTTAAAGAAAAAAGGATCAATTTCAAGCACGCCTAAATTTTCAAAAATCTTTTTATACATTACTGGAATAACTTTATGATGATGTGCTAATAATAGAATTGAACCAGGAACCATGTAAGTAGAAATTAAGATTGAGAAGGTCCACCAAATCTTCGCTGCCAATTCTTTAGCTGCTTTTATATGCGGATTAGGTGGTGGTTCTGGCAGTTGATATGCCTTTCGTATGCTCACATCAAAGTTTTCGATTATCACTGCCACCTCTTCCATTGAATTTTTCGTTAGGTTATTCATCGATAATGTTTTTGTTGATTTGACTTTAAGTTTTTCCCAATCATTATTTTAATGATATATTTATAGAATATCATTTAAATTTTTAACGTTTAATATTAATATATTAATAGAAAAACAGGTGTGCTTTTGCAAACAAAAAAAAATTCTATACCATTCTGCACTGGCGATGATTGTTCCATGGTGATATTGCTTTAGAAAAACTAGTTATTGAAAATTATATAGGGCGTTAGTTGATCTATACTTGGATCATCTTTTAGTCGTCAATAGCGATAATTTATGTTTCGTGACGATTAAAACCAAACATCGTAATTCATCAAGCGTTGCGGAATTGTAACTCTAGCGATTGATTGCTGATTTTGTCCAACAGGAGTACGTTGTCCTTATTTGTAATACATGCTATGATTGTGTATGATGATTTTCAATTTGTGCCGGCTTTAATCCTCGAATTACTGGTTTGAGCTAACCTGATTTTCAACACGAATATGTTAATTTAATAAAGAATGAGTTAGCGTTAGTCAAAAAATTTTTACCCTCCTGACTATAATCGAAATGATTCAAATTAGAGGTTGACATTCGTATAATTTGTATTTTTATGCTTCTCAGCATTCCCAATTTATTATATAATCAAATACGTTATGGGGATTGTCAATAACCATTATGAAACTTAAAAATCACTTGTTTTGGAATAAAAAGAATACTTTTTCGGGTTCTTTCGAACTTTTTGTCCAATTCTAATTGGACGTACAATGATCAATGATCGATTAGCGTTTAACGTTAACGTTAATCACAAAACGTACGTATACTGACAGGCTTGATTAGTGAATGTAATCTCATTCATCATTCGGTCGAACCAAAGAATTCGTCTCCGTTTCCTTTATTTGCTAATAACCTGCGACTTCAAATTTGCTGCTCCGACGTAGTTCTTTTTCCGGATTCGATTAGTTTAAATAACTCCATTTACAGAAGAAAGGCAAAGAATCGTTTCATCGAGAAAATAACCATTCTCATGCATCACATCCGTTAAATAGTTTTTCGTTCAAAAGCACAACAAAGCGAAAGAGATTTATTTTCCTCGGAAAAAAAACATGAATGCACCTGACTAATCATGCGCACATTTGTGCATTAATAAGTATCGATTTTGTTCAACAATAAATGAGAGAAATGCTGTGTTTTATGCAGGAACTGAGAAATTCGCAAAACTGTGGTCAATCCCAAGAATTAATATTTTTGTTTGACAAGGGATTTCTTTGGTATTATCTATGGTCTTAAATTTAAAAAAATAGATGTATCAAAAAATAAGCGTCTTAAAATTAAGAAAAAAATTGGATGTTATCTTGAAGATGATATCAGGTTTAAATCTTGGTGCTTTATGCGATATGCTGTGGATATGCTTTCAAGTTAAAGCAGGTAACCATTCCTGCGCACAAGTCACAAAATGCCCTATAAATGTTAAATTAATTAAACTGGTACCTAAAGATGCCTCGTGAGTAATAAGTGAAACTATGATCGTTGTCTATAGAAGGATTTAGATTTAAAGAGAATTTTTCGTATTACTAAGACAAAGTGTTTCGTATTACGTACTAAGTAAACGGACGAAACCAATCGCAATTTAGCTCGTCTAAATACAATAAATAAAATACGATTTACGAGCTTGCTGCTGACTATCTTCTACCAATTTTAGATTGGACAGATAGGGATTTTGAGTTTTGCAATAATAGAGAGGAAATAATAGGTGTAATCAGGTCCCAGAAAAATAAGTAACTCGGTCACTTTTAATGCATGGTCGTCGACATTATTTAGACGCCATATAATTTCATAGATATTTCTTTTCCCCCTTTTTTTTAAACGTGTAATGAAAAAATTTCAGGAGCATTCAAGAGATTGACCAAATCTACTTCATAATAATTTAGCGTTTTTTTATTGTGTTAACGCGAGTCCATAAGTATAAAATGAATGAATCAAGTTCAAACTTACCTTTGATAACTCAAGAGAAATAATGCCCGCATAATTGAATAGGCGAAAAAATTGTCTTTGATCAGACCACACCAGACCACAAATTCTTACTTGTTTATATGTGCAACATTAATATAAATTTCATCAATAATCTGATTAATGAATGTGTAATGTGCTTTGTGAGATTTTAAAGAGGAATTTCAAATTGTATCGGTATACCGAAATCGGAAATGATCAAAGTTCAACAGTTCGTAAATTCGCAAATGTAATCGTAGGATTGAGATAAATTCGTTTGGAAGAAAATGTTTCTCTAGAACTTTGTCGTTCAATTCGGATGCTATAAATCATTAAGTTTTCGTGCAAAATCCATTTGGATTCATTCATCAAAGAAATCCTGGATGTTCGAGTGCAACTCAAAAAGAGTTGAGACACCCACTCTGAAGATATTAATCAACGATCAAGCATATGTAATAGATTAGTAAGGAGAACGCACATTTCCTCGTAAGGATGGTAATGTAAAAGAATTTCATAGGTTTCTTGGTAACATTTGCTTATATCCGGTATAGCGAACATTTTTCTCTCTGGCATCATTTGCTATTCGCGATGATAAACCCACGATCAAAACATGACAGTGCGTCTCAAACCATTTTCACGTGCGAGCTTTGCCTTGATGTCCGTACAAATCAAAGATAACACATGTAAGCATGAAAATAAATATTTCCACTTTACTACGTAGCATAAGGCCACAGCATTTTGCACCGATTCGATGCATTTATTTTAAAGTATTTATTTTTATTTAAGCCATTGTTTCAAAATTCACATCTCCGACAGATTTATTAATTACGCCAATGTCAATAAAAACGACACCCACTTTTCTAAAAAAGCACAACATGAAAACATCCCTAAGACGATAACCACATTTGTCGCTAAATATGTGAATAAAAGAGAACTTCCTCCCCCGAAATAATTCATTGATAAATTTCTTTTAAAAAAAAAAGCGCAACGTATTTTCTCTTTATCAAGTCAATCAAGTCGGCTATTATGGATCTAAAAATGACTTATCTCTGTTTTCCAAATAAAGCGTAAATTATATTTGATAAGTTTAGTTTTACAAAGTACTGTACATCGGAGTGTGTGTGTGCTACATACATAATATCGATATAGCGTTAAAACGTTTGAAAAAAATGGGAAATGGACGGAATACATGTGCATGCATGACTATCAGTTCATTTGGATGATCTTTGCCAAACGATCATGACCAAGAAGGGAAGAAATCGAAGAAATCCGATTCTTTCAACGACCTCTTTATTTGCATTGCCTTTTCCAAAGAATGTCAGTCAAGTGGAACATTTGTATGGCCTAAGGAATGTCCAATTCGAGATTTGGCACAATCGAAAAATGTAGAGTTTTTGCAATGTTTGTATCGAACGAAAAAAGAAAAGCTGGTGCGAAGACACTTACCCTAAATAAACAGTAAACAAATAAAGATTAACTTTAGCCACCATAGCCTTTATTAATGTCAGAGTGGCTCGTGCGTTTGTTAACCAAGCCACGCATATCTTACACAAGAACAGTGATTCATTGTAAAGCGGGACAATAATTCTCCCAATAAAAAATATGTACGTATGAAGATGACATCGTGTATGAAAGCTGCTTCTTCATTGCTGGTTATACGCAGATTTGCTATTAATATTTGACGAATTTGTAGATATATATATGGTTCAATAATGATGAGATGAGTTAAAGCCTCTATTGTTGAGGATTATTTTAGTTAGCTCAATCTAGGGGGATGCCCGAATGGCAAGTATGAACTAGGTAAATTGAACGATTAATACGTGTTTATTTATTGCGAGGGGTCTTTCCTTACTTTGAACTTATCCTACGCATTGACGACCAGAACGATATTTTTATTCCCTTGATACATTTCTGGATTTTATATTTCGACATGACATGTGTATGCTCAGAGAAAGAAAGTGCGCATATTTCTTTAAACTATGGGAAAATTTCTGAATGATTTTCCGGAGCTCTAATTTTTTTTTTTTATTTACCGAAGTAATTACATCGACATAGTTATTTACTATTGTACTCTCTTAATTAAACAGAAAGATCGGATTTTCCCATGATTGGTGCATATTATTCTCTTATTTGTTACTTTAATCTTGTTTTGAGAGAGATGTTTATTTTTTTATTATTATTATTACATGTATTATTATTGTTATTTTTCAAGCATGAGATATTACAACAAACACCAATAGAACATTACAAAAGGAGTCAAAGATAACTTCAGAATTTACTTAAGGAATAAAAATTTCGATATTGAAATCTTTGCCGTCTGGTATCCCCATACTTACAGAGCGACACGAACGAATGTGTAAGATAGATAATAATCTCTAAAAGCGCTAATGATTATCACTTGAATAAGATAATAATATAGAAAATACTAGATATAGAATAGTTGTGTTTATGAATGAACGTGCCCATCCATGGAACAAAAGAAATATTATTTTACATACATAACATACATATACACGCATACATACATATGACTGCTGCTGGCTTTACTCTGATAACATACCGCACACACTACGTATTGCCCTCATTACATTATACACATTAGAGGCACTTTCACGCAACGACAATATTAAAATAATATAATGTATGCATAGTAAAAAGCGATCCGATAGCCAAAAATGGACATTGGATCGGTATACTTTCATGGAAAATAAAATTATTTTCAACTGGGCGGAAGGGATTAATTACATTTTTACCTGAAATTTTAAACCCGAGATCAATTTGACTGAAAATAATTCGATTTAATTTCTCGTGAGAGGAGGAAATGACTCTTAGAATAAAATATCGTGCGTGTTGATGACTGAAAAAGTAACACAATTCCTCATTTGCTTGCCTGGTTTAGGATTACAAACAGTGAAATAAAACGCATAGAAAAAAAATTAGGTTACCCCCTTCTTATTTTCTTCTCTTAGTATTAAATAAAAACCCAAGATAAGCTAGAATCGATGCTCATTTAGTAAATTTTAAATGTTGGTAATCATAATTATATACATAAAAATGATATTTGTAAATCAAGTAAATTCAATATTTGTGAATGAGCGCTAGCCAATATAGAGATTTCTTTCTCTCTCTCTCACTCTCTCGCTCCCTCTCGGTATATCCTCCTCATTGCCATTATCCATCTCTTGCTAATCGGGTGACTGTAATTAAAGCTAGCCACCACACACACGCAATAATCAACATCATCATCATCATCAACAATAACATCATTCATCAGCAGCGCAATCAGCGTGCTTGGAAATTTTTTTTGGTTGATTATCCTTTTTTTTTTTTTATTACAACACACACGGGTCGGGTTTACATTTGTATGTTTTGAATGTTTTTATGTTTTTATGTTTTTATAAACTTCTCAAAATTAATTATTCATTTTAGAGAGGGTTCGAGATTTGATTATATTCGTATCGCAATAACTGTTATCCAAAGCAATAAAGAAACCAGCAAACAAAACACAAAAGTCAACGATTTATTCATTCAAGTAAGCACAAAGAGTCACGTACTATAAAATTATATAACTGTATTGTTTCATTCAATATTCATTTGGGTGCACAAATAAAAAGCTAGGAGTTAAAATTCTTATTTATTAGCTGTCTAGCATTCTCTTCTTACGTCTCTTTTTTTGCCATTGAATTTTTGCTATAACTCGCATACATGTCTTGTTATTAATTAAATATTAATCTTTATATAATTTATTTATACTTACATTATATTTATATAATTAATTTATATATATATATATAAATATATATGATAAGCAAGCAGCGTATATAAAGACAATCATTTGAAGAGCCAATTACACATTTTCTCTCAGAAATAACCAGCCAGACGTTTTCAAGCTTTTAGCAATCTTGTTCATTTTTCATTTTGAAACATCCGTTTCGCCCGTCCGCATTCTTATCTTTATTTACAAGAGCTGAGAAAGTTATATATCGCCAGCAGCTGCTGCTATAATAAAACAAATTTATTTGTTTCATTGAGTGACAACCGCTCCGCATAATTACAAACTCTGTCTTTTTTATTGTTCACCCAGTAAGTGATTGATTTTCTTTTTCATTGTTCAAAAAGTTACATATAAAAGCCGAAAAACTTAATCTGGTCGCATCCCATTTTTACATTTTGCAAACACAGTCAAAAACAATGGAGAATAGACACAAAAAACTTACCCAACGGTTCCTTCTGAGTGAAGCACCGTCACCAATTCACGATTCTCTTACGACAGCAGAAAAACCTTCAAATAACATTCAACTTATTGAATCCTCTACTATCATAACACCACCATTGACGCCGCCACCGGGTATGCTCAACGAGCAAGCAACCACGTCGACTACTACGAATCTCCCGATAAGAAGAAAAGTAAGCCGACGAAAGAACCCATACCCAATTCGCTCACCCGAAAAAGATTCAGAAGGATTCACCTTACACATAAGTATTTACGAAGAATATAGAAAAAATCCAGCTTCCTTTTACGAATCGGCACAAAAAACCACAATCGAAGACGGTATTCCTTCGATTTCTTCTCGTTGGCCAACTTCAGACTCAGATTCGGATGAAAATCAAATCAATTACTCATCAATCTCAAATAACGGCGTACATTCACAACGAGGAAAACGAGCAAAAACAAGTCAAACGCAAAGGACAAGGAGAAGCCGAGCATTAGGAAGAGTCATTGGTATCAATGGAACAAACGGTGATTCGACCACAATAAGAATCCCGCCACCACTTCCACCACAAGAATGGCGCATACTACGAGAGAAACTTGAAAGTTTAGAATTAGAGAACAGTGTGTTAGAAGGCGAGTTACCCACGATATCATGGAAAGGACCACCAATGCAAATAAATAATTTACCACATTATGATTATTTACATCCAACCGAAGCAACGCTAGCATCAACACTTCGTCTAACGCCGGCGCAATACTTGACTTCTAAAAATTCAATAATTTCTGCGGCTCGTCGATATGCAAAACGGATGATGCCATTTAGGAAAAGTGATGCACAACGCTTACTGCGCATCGATGTAAATAAGTCAAGTAAACTATGGGAATTTTTCCGGGATATTGGTTGGTTCGATTAAGTATCGCCGCCGCCATTATCTTATCATTAATATTATCAGTATAATATTGTTTATATAATTATTGTTTATATGATTTTTTTGTAAAAAAAAAAAAAAACCTTTTATATTTTGTATTGTCAAAGTTTAGCTAGTTTTAAATCAACGTTAGTTAGTTAGTTAGTTAGTCACCCAGTATTTACAATTTTCTTTTTACTTTTTTTAAACAAACATGTGAAGCGAGTGGGAAATGTAATGATTCGATTTTAATCATTTGTAGCATTTTGCTTTATTTACAATCTTTGAATGAATGAATGTATGTCCAAAAAAAAAAACTTTGGAATCTTAGGTCTCATGTCGTGAATAAAAACAAAAACACCAATGTTTGTGTGAGAATGATCAATTGCATTCTTTCTTCCATCCTTCCTTTCAAGAACGTCCAAAATCGATTGTTTGCCAGAATTAGTCAACTTACTCGATTGTCTTACAGTCACCTGACGCCGCTTCTGTATTTTATATTTTATATATATTATATGCATAAATTCTTTATTGTATCACCTTATTGTTAACGTTAATCTGCAATGTACCGGTGATTCAATCTGGGGGTGTTGATGAATGGTTGATAATCCGCTTCTCGTTGGAAAATTGTTCCACAAAGGAAATTGGATCCTATTTTACTCAAGGGGTTTGATGAACGAATTAGATAAATGTACGAATAGAAATGGAGTTAAAAACAAATTTTAAAGCAGGTTAATCGATAGATGACGACTACGACATGATGTTCCTGAAATTAACACATAATCATGAACAGGAATGTCAATATAATACATGTATCAGGAGTCGAATTTCCATCAGGAGATAATATTCCCATTATACTCATTGTTATCACACGGAAATTGCCCAAACGAAATACTCCAGAGAAGAATGTTTCCCATTTTGCAAAAATGGGCGGCGTTGAGTCCCAACGGATAATGGGGGAGTCAAAGAAGAATATTTCTAAGCCATTCATCATAATAATAACGCATCGCAATGAACGAGAAAATTTCAGAATTTTGTTTACAATGTAAAATGAACGTAAATATACGCCTTTATTACCAAATGTGTTAGTAATATTTGATGATTATAATCATTAGCTTTCCATTATTTTTCTTGATTGTATGCATGTACGTATATTTTTTTCGCCTCTTGCTTTGTTCGTAACATGTGTGTGTTTGACAAATTTTTCGTTTTACAGAAACTTGTACATTTTGTTCATTGAATGTAACGTGCATACTTTTCTTCTCGTGAGAGTACCAATTACAAATCGCGGAAAGTTTAAAACGAAGTACGTAAGCTGCGACAGAGATTAAACATCAGCATTACATTAAAGAAAGGGTGTTATGTTCCAGCTAGAATTTTAAAAAATTCTTCTAATGGGTATTGTATTGAAGACTCTCGATTATTAATTGCCAAATCTTTTCATGAACCCACTTTTGCCAAAGTTTCGTCCCAAGTTCCATTCGCACACACGTACTTTTTTCGCAAGCATCTTGGAGTGAGCCATTTTGTTTGTCATGTTTTCGTAATTGGATTCGCACAAGTAAACAATCAAACTAATATGAAATAAACTTGGATGTATGCTATGTCATCTCTGTCTCACGATCCGCAGAAAATCAAACACAAATATATGTACTATCGCTATTGTCAGAACTACTCTAACCCCTTATTGAAAACATCTCTCGTTTGATTTGCTAACGCAAAATTAAACGTTAAGCGTTCTCAAATAAACATTACAACAGTTCAAATAATTGTGATGGGAGTGACATAATAATAATAGAGTCTTTGTACTTTAGCGTTAGTAGAGAGAGCCCAAAAAGTTTTTATTTTAATCTACACATGTTTGATATGTATGTGTAAAGACACAAATTCATGTTATATCTTTGTATTTTAAAGAGGTTCTTGACTAATGAATATGAGGAATTACATACATGTACATGTAATTAGCTAAAAACCTTAAATTAGGCAATAAATATAGTACATGTAGTAGCAGATTACTTGCATCAGTGTAAATTTTAATTATAATTATTGTAATCCATTTGGTGTAAATATATAATACTCATGTTTTCATTTTTGATACATTATAATCCTTTTAAACAATGAAACGATAGCTTATTATTATGAATTTGCAGCGTGTCTCAAAAATGATGGTTACAAAATTTTGAATTAATTTATTAAATAAAAAAGAATTAATAGAGTTATTATCAGTTTTGCAAAACTAGTTTGCATCTTTTTTAAATTGTACAAAATTAATTTGTATACATATAAAATTCATACTTTCAGATTCTTATCAATTAATAATAAAAAAGCACAATTATTTTCAAAAAAAATTTATAATTCAAAGTTTATTGTACGTATTTTCGCGAAATAACGCGCGTAAGGGGTGTAATTTTGAATTTCAGCCTGAATTAAGCTTAATGCGGCCGTGATTCGAAATAATGCGCATGGGCGTTATTTCGCGCGAGAATACTGAAATAATTCAAAATGAGGTAATTCTCTAATATGAGGACAGTTAGCAAAAAAAACCAAGCAAATCAATTTTTTTCAAACCAAATTTTTAAAATAAATATACTGATCATTTTTCAATCAATAATAAATATTAATTTATATAGTAAAATTTTGAATATTACTTTTTATTAATTATCCAAAGTTAAGATTTTGCTAATTTGTCTGATTTTTTTACTAACCGTTTCTTATATATTTTTTATGTTATTTTTTATTAATAATATAAATAATACTGATTCAAACCTAAATAATATTAATAAGAAAATAAAAAATTCAAATATTTAATGACAAGAATTAATTATTTTTTAATAATATAATAAATTTTCTGAAATTAATAAAATCAGAAAAAGAAAAATTTTAAAAATTATATGAATGTTAGAATTCTAAGATAAATTATAACTTATAATACAAATTATAAGTTATAATATAAATATGACTTATAATATAAATTATAATTTTATAATCAAGATAAAAAAAGAATTTTTAATTTTAAATAAAAATTTATAATAAAATAATTATTATTTAAATAATAAAAATATTATAAATATTTTTTTAATAAGTTATTTTATATTATTTTTAAATAAGTTTATTTATTAAATAATAAGAAATTTTTAGTAAATTTCATTTAGTAATAAAGAAAAATATGATTAAAATTATTTTTTATGTAATATTTTTACAAAACTTTTTTAATTTATAAAATATATATAAATTTTTCTAATTATTTTTCTAAATTAATTTTTCATTTTAATTTAAAAAAAAATTAATATTCTTTAATAAATAATCTTAAATAAACTTTTTTTATAAATAATATAACTCTTATAATTATAAAATTAGAAGATTAATTTTATTAATAAAATATGGTAAAAATTAAAATTTTCTCTTTATATTAAACTTTATAATTTTATTAAGAAATAATTAAATAAAGTTTATAAGTTATAATTTAGTATATATTTTTTTTTAGATTTTTAGATTTTTAGATTTTTTCTAAAAGAGTTATATTAATTACAAGTTAATACAAAAATTTTTTGCTAAATAAAAATAAAATTTAATTAATAAAGATTTTATATTAATTTTATATTTAGAATAACTCATTCAAAAAAAATTAGATATATTATTTTTGGTTATACTTAATGAATATTTATTTAATTTATATAAAATTTTAAATATATATGCTTGATAACCTAGTGAAAAAGTTTACTTAAAAGTATTTAATAACTTATCTTAATAAAATTTTTCATAATTAATATTTTTTTATTAAATTTTTTTTTAAAAAAATT